TACTGTAACTTGTTATAGTGTTCTGGCAGTGCATTAGTTGATGCTTCAAAAGTGCTATTATGTAACTAATACTTCATGAAAATGCACATGCATTGTGTAAGCACTGCCCTCTACTGTGGTTTAGGAGTGCTGAGGGATGAGTATAAAGTTTTGAAAATCTGATGACTGCCACATATTTTACTGACTTTTTACATTTTTTACATTGAGGAGGCAGAGGCTTTTACTGTGGAACAAGAAAACAATTACTGTCCTAATTGTTTCAGTCAAATGTCAAGAGGCAGATTGCAATAGGTACTGCAGTGAATCAGGAAGCTGCTGTGTTATAACATGAAAGACACACTAAAAAGAAAAGCACAAGTCAGATGTAGGAAATAAACCTGGATTGATATGAGCTGTTGCTGCATTCACTGGAATGCACTAAATGTGCTACACTATTACTGCATTAAGTTCTGCCAGCTCACTAAAGGTGTAAGGGAGCTCTAACAATACCAGGGAGTTATTTGTGGCTGTCAGACCAGAGCCCAGCCCCTGAATACTACAGAGGAAATCCCCATCACCAGTGTGGGAGGCTTTTTTCCATTGACCCTTAAAACACCTGCAGAATCTAAAATACCAGATAGAGCATAACCTTGTTTCAGTAGCTGGTTGGGGAAGAAGTCAACAGAGGATAAAAGCTGGTGGCTAGGGATGAAGTAGAATTATACAAAATAAAATATAAATATAAAGGCACTTAAGAAAAAAGGAACAGTGTATGACGTTTTGGAAACCCATGTGATCCAATAAAAACAGTTTCTCTACAGTTTTCAAAACAGTTGAGTTCGAAATGCATTTCTAAATGAGAAAGACAATATTTCAAAGTAGTTGTTAATAACAAGAAACAGTGATTTGGGTCATTACTTATTTTCACTTTTTAATAACCTGGTACCTCTCAAAAGTGCTCAGAGAATTTATCAGTCTGAGCCCTCCTGGAAGTCACTGTACCTCTGCTGCAAAATTTCCTCTGAAAACACAATGTTTTTCCAGTATTTGGACTGTCCTCTTCCTTGGTACATATGTGGGTTGGAGCAGCAGTTAGACACAGGAGATCAGCTTGTGGTGTTTGGTGTTTGTGGCCAGATCTTCATAGGAGCTTAGAGATCAACGTGCACCCAGAATGTGAACTCTTTCAGAATTCTGGTTTTCATGTGTGGTTGCTGAGCTATTTTTGAAAGCCTGGCTAGCTGCACAAAACTTACTCATTTAGCACTCAGTTGCTTATCTACCTAATATATGGGTAGTTATATGACATATAAAGCCAAATGCTGTACTCATCTTCCACAAATAAATTAATATTATAAAGAAACCATTAACAATCAAGCCACTATGAAACAAACCAAAAATAACAAAAGAAACAGACACAATTCAGAATTTAAAGTCTTGTAAAAGAAGTCCCAGAAGTCTCAGTTCTGCAAAATATATGAACAGATTCTCAGTCCTATCCCTGCTCAGGAAATCTTGTTAAGCAGATAACTTTAACTCACTGATTCCAATGGAATTTAAACTTAATGGGTTTGAAAAAACAAGAATGCAAATATAAGAGAGTTTACAGTTAGCAGACAAGTAGAGAAGGTAGGGGGAAAAAAATGAAGAAAAAGAAAGTATGCAGAAAAAAGTTGTTACATTTCAAAATACCACAAAAGCCACTTGAGTCACTGAGCAACTGTTATCCAGTATGCTTTTAAAAAAAAATCACACAAGCAACATACACTGAAAATACAAAAAGACATCAATGCATTCAACTTGGAACCTTGTTCAGTAGTAGAATAAAAAGAAAAGTTTCAAGCTTACACCACGTGTATTCTGACAATGTGGTCCACACTGAAGCACTAGGCTCTAAAATGAGATTGTAAGTTTTATAAAAAGTTTTATGAGGTCTCTTGGTGAAAGAGGACTGCATCAGAGAGAGAGATTTTCAGAATACTGTTCCACAGCAGCTTCCTAATTTTTCGACTGTCACTTTTTAAAATAATTATTTCTATGTTACCCTTGGCAAATAAATGGTAGGAGATTCTAGCTTTTAGGCATACATTGCAACATATCTGAGGATGAAAAAGAGCAACAAGTTCATTCTAAAGCAAATTCAGGAGTCCATATACAAACCATGGATATTAAGGATGATACTATATTCCAGGGCTGGAAGAGACCTCAAGAGAGTATGCCATTCAGGACTTTCCCCAAAGGCAGATTTTAATGAAAGCCTGAAAGAGAATGAGAACTGAATTGTGATCCAGGATTTTTGGTCAAGTGCAAAGATATCTGACCCAAACTGCACATCCATAGCTCTCTCTGGGCAGTTTTCACTGATTATTCTAGACTGCCACAAGATTACACACACAGTTATTAATAAGTTCATATTCATAAAGTTAGCACTTCTAGATGAATCACAATATTTATGACATGGCCTTTTATATGTGCTGAAAGCTCGCACAGTTATTCCATATCTGAACCACTGAGGAAATATGGATAACACATGATTATGATTGCTAAATTTTCATTTTTATTTCAGTCTAATTTTTAACAACTATGACTATCACTTTGTCTTAATTAATATTATATGAAACCAAGATTGAGCACAGCCCTACTTTAAAACTCTAAAAACAAGAGTTCAGTTTAAAAAAATAGCACATGCTTGGGTTCAGGATATGTGAAGTTTCATTCCTAACTGTGCTACACATTCCCAATGGGAATTTGGTGAATGATCTTACCACATTGCACCTGGATTTACATCTATAAAACTTCCTTGTTCCATGGTAAGGCCTTCAAAATATCTAGAGTGCAGGATATAATGCACAGCAGGTTTTCACAATGCTGATCTTGTATTAGGGGCTTTTAGGCTCAACTACAGCATAAGTCAAGACTTTTATCTTTCTTCTAATTCCCTAAGAAAAAAGAAGAAAAGCAGAAGATGGTTTACTGTTCTGCCAAAAGGAAGAGAGGGTGGGTACAAGGCTAACATAAAAAACATGCCCAGGTTCACCACTCTTCCTGTTTGTCTCTGCAGCTACATGACAGATGAGTCTTAGCTACTTTCAGCTTTGTTAATCATTTGAATGGCAACCACTTTCTTGCATGGTTTGGGGAAGAACGGTGTCTCACTCTGGAGTAATGCCCGGACACTGATGCTGTTGCCAAGTGCTGCAAGCAGGAAGTGCTGCTGCTACTCCATGAGAGTGAAAGTGACTATTTACTAAGAGAGCTTTACACTTTATACTTACAAATCATATTTAGGCTTCTCAATCTAAAGTATATCTCTAACTTTTCAAGGATTTTGCTCAAGTTTAATGGCCTATACACATATTTCCAAAACTATTGGCAAACACACAAAGTGAGAAAAACAAATTATAGGCAAAGTTTTATGCCTTCTGACTTTCTCCTTTCTTCTGCTCAAAATAATAGCAATTTTGATGTCTGACAGTCCCAGACAGATAGTAAGTGTGAAAAACTTAGTAAAATCTTCCAGATGGAATTGAGTTTTTCACAAATTAGGGTTTTTTGAGCTTTGAGATGTCAGAATCTTTTAAATCTCAGAGACTTTGGTCTCTTTGTTGCCAGAAATCAATGAAATCCATAGTTTCACTCATTAAAACCAGAAAAAATGAGATGCAGCATTCCAGAGAAGGCAAGAAAGAACCAATTGCTCAGATTTACAAATCCTCCATGTTACCACATGATGCAAATAGTCCCAGATAGGATGTCTGCCTGCAGCTGAGTGCACACATCTGCTTCTCTTCTTCAAAGCTCCACCATAACAGCAGTACAATCTAGCAGAACTAAGGATTAACAATCCTGTAACTTCACTGCAACTCAGACATCTCTGTTCAGCAGTATGTTGTATTCTGTATGTACTGTATTTTGAAAGCACATTAATTTCTCAGTAAATATTTTTTACAATTTTTGTTCTAATTCAAGCAGAAAAATTACATGCAGGCTCTGAGAAGCTAGATGACTTCTGCAGAAGGCGAAATAAAATAATCACAATGGCGCATTATGTCATAAAATCTTGGAATTAGGCTTGTTTTCAGTAATATGGGTCAAATGTGATGACCTTACAATGATTAGCACCTCACTTTACCTGTGAACCTGCTTCTGTGTGAAGAATGATGTGCTGTTCCCCACAAGGTAACAGCATGTGATACACTGCAAAAGGATATACATTTATCCTGAAACAGGTGTAAAAAACAGGATAAATGAACAGATCTAAGTTGTAGCTCAGAAATTCTAGCTACTCACAAGACAGCTACCAGCAACCAGGAGTGTTTAGCACATACTCTGACATGAGTAACATCCAGCATAAAGTCTTTTCTTCAGAATACAGAGGGCAATATTTCTACAGCTTCTGACCCTCAGCTTCACTAGTGAAAGATCCTTTCTGTACTTTCCAAATGTGAACTGAGGAAGACCATTTCAAGGAATCATGGGAAAGACTGATGCAAAGAGAAATTCTGTTTAAGTAAAAAGGACAGTTTAATTCCTCTTTTATTATTTTAATTTGTTAAATTTAATTTCTTAAATTATTTTAATTTATCATTAAACTGTTACTTTTATCATTTTCCTTTCTCAAAAGTTTGCGAATAAGCGCTTAATATCAGCTCAAGCTACTAGAGACAGGTTTAGGAATGGCTTAAAGTGAAAACCTTCAAAGTTAATGATGTAGCTAAAAGTATAGTTTTCCAATAGCATTCAGGGAGCTATCCATCTAGTGACTCAAAGGCCATCCATCTAGTGACTAAAGTTAACATACTTTAGGCATGACAATATTTAAATCATGCTACTCATCAAACATGGAACAGACCATTAATACTAAAGAACAGGAAAAAATTGAAGTATGAAAATATGGTGTAGTTTCAAAATAAACCTTTCCATTCTTTTCACCCAAGATCAGATATTTAACAGTTTTTTCCCTTTTCCCAAATAACAAGAACTCAAAAGGCAGTATCTAAATCATAAGAAGTGAAACATACTGCACAGTGCTTGTGTAGTGAGGCTTTGAAGTTTGCATGTGCTTTAGTGGGACTAAGTCTACACCAGTGCAAAATTTACTGCACCAACACAGCAGATAGAAAGTAAATAGAAGATATGTACATTATTCATAAGACAGCTGGTGGAGGCAGCTGAACAATACACTGCATGCTCCAAAATTCTAGTTATTTATTAAAATGGTCCACAAGAAAAAAACACAGAGATGAATGGCCCTGTTTGCTTGGCATATCCCAAGATGAAAACAATAATTTGTTGAACTTGCAGCACATAACAAATGACAGCTCTAATACATATGTGCAGAGAGGCTTGGGAAAAAAATGGACATAAGATAGAAATGTGTCATCTCACATCCTTTTGGCTATTCTTATGATCTGACTGGGATACTCTTACAAAGTGGACATAACAGATTCTGATTTCTAGTTTACAGTTAAAAAGTTGGAGACACCCACAAGTAAAGGAGACTCAGCATACACTCTTCTTTGGCACCAGAAAATGCCTTAAGATTAAATAACATAGGCCAGCTACAATTCTTGTTTCAGAAAATGAGAGAGGGACTGTTCGGGCTTAATCAAAAATGACAAATTTAAAACAACTCAGGGACACTGTACTTACGTATACAAAGGGATATTTGAGATTTGAGAGCTTTGGTTTACACTTTTAAAGACAAAATGGATCAATCATTTTCTTTTTTCACCAGACAGAACATTGTGATAGAATATTTATGAGGTCCCAAAAGACTGGTGGTAACAAGCCAAAGTTTTGCTCTTGGAATAATGCAGTGCTCATTTGAATTTGGTAAAAGACCGTTGCAAATGATTAGTTTGGCATATACGCTAAATGAACCAGCTGAGCATGCAGAATCTAATCTGTTAGCCTCTTCTTATGCTAGGACTTCAGTGAATTTCATAGGACAGTATAAGCAAGTTTTCTTTTCTTTCTCATATAGCAACACTTTGAATTTCATTGAATTCTTGAGAACACAGGAAAATTTAACATCAGGTCAGAATTTCTCCCTTGGTCTGTCCCTGCAATCAACTCTCACCATCCACAACTATATTCCTTTGAAAGAGCATCATTCAAGAAACCATGATAGCATTGTCTATCTATCTATCTATCTATCTATCTATCTATCTATCTATCTATCTATCTATCTTGCTTTTCTTCCACCCTGCTGAGGTATCTGTCTCTCCCACTGAATGTCTGACTGCCCAATAACTCACCTGTCCATTGAGTTTGCCTGAGCAAACTTTCTGGCTCATAGTCTGGAAAGGAGACATGTTCTTATTTTCTATCATACTTTGACCAACGTTTCTTTGTCTCAACTTAACTATTCTTTGATTCCTATTAAGACTCCCATGACCTTTTACTGGACTCATCTAAAATGCTACACTCTGAGATAGGTTTGAATAGGTGAAATACAGAGTAATGCAGAGATGATTGTTTTGGACGGACAACAAAAAAACCCCTTGAGTTTGTGCATGGGTATGATTACCATGGTGTTTTCTAAATGTCATGTCTTAATGCAAACATCACATGTATGAAATCATTACAATCATTCCCTTTACAGGTTTCTTCTGTTCTGCTTTTTATATTTAACTCTCTCACAGGAGAAGCATGCAGGACACATTTTTGAGATAGTTATTAACTGACTATCTTAACTTACCTAGTTACAGAAGGCTGCTTTCTGTAATTAACTTGTTAATTATCTCAGAAGATTTAGTCTTCTGAGATAATTAACTGTCCACAGACTTCGTAAAAGGATTGTTAAGACAACTCCAATATTCACAAAACCTGAAATTTACAAAGCACCAGATCTCTGTGGAGAGATAAAAGATCTTGTTTGAAATCTGTCCCAGAGGCCTCCAGCAACCTAAAATCATAATTACATGCCTTTTGTATGCCACATTTGCTAATTAATATGACTTAATAGATTTTCAGGCAGCAATTGCAAAACTGAATTTTAGTTTATTAAAAATAATAATTGTTACAGTTAATAATCACAAGTAAACTAACTTAATGTGAGATTTGTTAAGGTAGTGCATCATTCTTACCAATTTTTCATCAATATCCTTGTACTTTGTTTTCACATTCTGCATGCATGTCTTCTGTATCAATTCACAGGGAGGGCCAGGAAAGAAATATGAAACATGAAATAATATGAGGCAGTTATGGGCATGTGGTGGTGACCTTTATTATGCATTTGAGACTGTATTTACCTGAAAAAATTTTTGTGGGTCTATGACCTACACAAAAATTAGGCTTCCTTTCATTAGCAAACCTAAAATCAGAAATTGTTCACTGACTTGGCTTATTTTAGGTTTGGGATTGTATCTTCTTTTTGTGAAACACTGGGAAACAGGATCAGCTAATCTCCCTCCCTCTGTTGATTTTGGATGCTATATTTTGGAAGGAAACATATTATTCCAAGGAACTCCTTTTTAAGCTTGTCTTGGGTTGCAATGCAAGATGTACCCAAAAGTATTTATTCTATTACCAGCTGTTAAAAACAGGTGTGGTACTGTTCTTTATCTCTTCCATGACCCATCCTCCCTGTTAATGGGCCATTGAGTCAGTCAGTGTAGGACTGATAAAATTACATCATCCCATTGTGAGATGCTCCACCCAGGGGGAGGAGCCAAACATTCCTACTTGAATATAATCGGAGACTTGGAACAACACAGGCAGCCTTTCTCCACTGGATTCCCAGAGGAAGACCAAACACATCTACACCACCACTGGACCTCCAGAGGAAAACTACACCCTTCTGTGGGATCATTGCTTCGACAGAACCACATCTGTCACTCTAGGAGGACTGCAGCCACCATTTAATCAGACTGCTACCAGCACCATGACCAACAGGGTGCCAGGTTGTATTCTGACTGTCAGTGGGTTTATTTTGGGGGGTGGGGGGCTGGTTTTTGTAATACTGCATTTTTATTTTTATTTTCCTAGTAAAGAACTGTTATTCTTATACCCATATCTTTGCCTGAGAGCCCCTTGATTTCAAAATTATAACAATTTGGGGTGGGGGGAGGTGTTTACATTTTTCCATTTCAGGGGAGGTTTCTGCTGTTCTTAGCAGACACCTGTCTTTTCAAACCACGACAAAGCTCTAGATAATTTTTTTTTTTAAAAAAAAAAGGAGAAAAAAAAGTTCCCATATAATCATTAATGAATGATGTTGGTAGCTAGATAATAAGGACTATGCGATGTAGATGTAGAAAGTAACAAAAGTATAGACTTCTTTTTTAATGGGAAATGAAAAGCCTGGGATTATATGCTGCTTGCTGTTGAACAAGTAGTTATTGCACAGTTTCACAGGATTATCTTCTTTAAAATGGTCTCACTAAGTCAAAGAGGTAGCTTTTCCTCCAATAAATTTACAGTAGTGAGGGAATTAATTTTGTCTGAATTTGAATAATCAATTACATGAGAGGAGACACAGAGACTGGACACCAGGCACATCATGCCCCTGACAGGTGATGAAGACAGATGGACAGCATGCTCTTTTGGAAACTACAGTTTCTCTTCATTGTCTACAGGGGAAGTGGAGATGAAAGGCACAGACTGTATACAAGCTTCTAGATAACTAAAGTTCATGAGATTAATCCTATGCTAAATGCCATTAAACAGCAGAAATTATGATTGCTGGAAAATTTTTTTTACTCCTATATATTATGCTATCTGAAGGTCCTTAGTAGCAAAAATTAAAAAATTAAGCAAAACAAAAGCAAAAACTGTGTTAAAAAGAAATGGTAGCTCAAATACTACCATATTAGTATTTGACTTGTAGACACTGTGAATTGTTTTGACCCCTTATATTTTAAAACTGGGAGTACTGACTTTAGTGGCCCCACAACAGTTAATGGCAAATAAAACATTTTCAAATAACTCTTCCAGATTTTATCGCTTGATTATTCAGTTAATTATTCTATTTCTCTTTATATGTGGAGGATAAATATAACCTATTGCTATTACTTCTTGTCTCTCTTTTAGCCTTTTGAAAGAAAAGGCTACAAATGACTCTCTGAAAACAACTTGTAACCAAGCATAAACCCCACCAGTTTATATTGGAGAGGACATGCATGGCAAAATAAGCAACAGAACTTGTTGAATTAACAAAGAATCATTCTGCTATTGGGCAAGTGAAAAGCAAATGAAAACACGTAACTCTAAGCATGATAAATAATCTAACCCTTAGTGAAACCACAGTTGTTTTATTCAATGACACTCAGCCTTAAAGAGATTATTTCAAGTTTTTTGCATTATTTCCATTATTTAAGTTATAATTAGCTTATTAGGAAGTATGATATTACACATCTCATTGTTTTATGTGTATTTAATAGCACAGATACTTTTGGGTATGCTGCAGGCTGCAGAATCACAAAATAATATGAGCTGAAAGGGACCCTCAAGGTTCATCAAGTCCAATTCCTGGTCCTGTACAGGACCATCCCCAAGAGTCACACCATGTGCCTGAGAGCATTGTCCAAATGCTTCTTGAAGTCTCTCACGCTGGAGCTGTGACCCCTGGGGAGCCTGTTCTAGTGCCCATCCACCCTCTGGATGAGAACCTTTTTCTAATATCTAACATAAACCTCTCCTGACTCAGCTTCAGGCCATTCCCTCAGGTCCTGTCGCTGGACACCACAGGGATCAGTGTCTGCCCCTCTTCCCCTCATGAGGAAGTTGCACACTGAAATGAAGTCTCCCCTCAGTCTCCTCCAGGCTCAACAGATCAAGTGACCTCAGCTGCTCTTCATAAGCTTCCCCTTCAGACCCTTCACAATCTTTGCTTCCCTCCTTTGCATGGTGTCTAATAACATCTTTTTTACATTGTAGCTCCAAAAACTGCACACAGGACTCGAGGTGAGGTCACCTCTGTGCACGACAATCCCCTCCCTTGCCCTGCTGATGATGCTGTGCCTCCCAGGACACGTTTGGCCCTCCTGGCTGCCAGGGCACTGCTGGCTCATGGTCAACTTTTCTCAACCAGGACCCCCAGTTTCCTTTCCATGGCACTACTTTCCAGCATCTCATTCCCCAGTCTGTTCATACAACCAGAGTGCAGAGTTCACCTTGTTGAACTTAATTTGGCTGGTAATTGTCCAGACATCTAATTTGTCAAGGTCTGAATGTCTATAAGTAGTTCATTTGTTGTTTTTCAAGTTGCACATTTCTTATTGCAACACTTTGTTGCCTCTGATTAAACTTTCTTCTTTCTAATTCTACAGGTAGTTGAAAGTTTTAATTTACTAAGTACCTAAGTACTTCCTAAGGTAATTTTCAATCAATATTTGAAATGTAGAAGAGACTGGAATCCTATCTTGAGATACCTCTCACTCGATGTGCTGCTTAATACTGCATTACTCCTGGATGATTATTTGTCCAGAGTAATGATTACTCTGGAGAAAATGCTTATTCCTTCAGCAGAAGAACCACTGGGAATGAAACTTCTCCTATACAAAAGCCATGGGGAATTTGATATAATGAAACCACAACTATTTCAGTAAGTTCTGCATGAAATACTTCAACTGAGCCTCTTAAAGAAACAGTAGAAAAAGGCAAGATCTTCACATGGATAAATAATTGGTTAGAAGATCACACATAGAAAGAAGGAATAAATGATCAGTTTTACAGGCAGATAGAGATGACTGGCAAAGAGACCTTCAGATAAACCATATGAGCCTAGGATATTTTTGCCTAACACATTGACAAATTAGCTGTAAGTAGGGAGTTGAAATGTAAGTGATAGGCACAAAAAGCAAATGTATATATTCATGAAGACAAATCTGTGAATCCATGACTGTTAACTAAAACACACAATCTCCTGGACATGAATCCCTGATCAACAAATCATCACGTGATGGGAAAATACTTAGAGAAAGCATGATGACTTTACTAACTATCCACAGTCTTGGATGAAATGCTGGTCTACATGGGCTTTTGGAGAAATCCAAAAACCTACTAGCAGCATGAGTAAACTACTTATTTCTTTTAAAAATGGTTATGACCAAGTCTGTAAGTTAACTCTATAGTATTTCCTATTTCCCATTTCTCAGCTTTGGAAAAAACTGTCTTCAGTTGTGTTAGTTTCCATCAGGGGCAAGAAATCACCTATTTTCTTTATCAGACTTGTCAGATAACCTGGTTTGTTCTGCAATCCCCATAACCTCTGTGTAAAGGCATCCAAATAGAATAATATTTACAAACTGGTAAATATTTATTCATCACCAGGTCCCCAGTACAAATACACCCGTATGGTCAAATTCTGAGGTCATCCTCCTAACCACTGCAAGGAAGACTTGAGACCACAGAGAAAAGGATATAAAGCTCTGCTGTCATATGAATGAGAGAAGGGGACTCTACAGGCAAACACTCTGAAGGCCTGGTCTTCTAGCACAGATCAGCTCCCCAATACAGACTAAGAATACATGGAGAATAGCTTCTCATCTGTTGTCCTTTTTCTGATTCTTCAGTCTTAGAATGGCTTTCATCATCAGCTTCTCACATTTGTTTTGCTATTACTGAGCTTCACAGAGTTTGCTTTGCTCAGTAGATGCAAAAGACTGCTAGAGAAGTTCAAAGTTGTGGGCTGCCAAAGCCATAGTGCTACATCTTCTCACAATAGAGAAGCTCCTCTCTGCTGCAGTTGTTTTATATACCACAGCTCAACTGTCTCAAAGGCTGCTTCTGTCTCTTTTTTTTTTGCCTTCATCCCAGACACAGTGGAAAAAGTGAGTGTAGAATTTTCTTGCCCGATTGATCTCTTTCAACACAACTTCCCCACTTAGCTGTGGAATGTCTTGGGACTGATATCTAGAAAGGTTAGCAATTTACATCACATGCCTGGGGGCTGGTAGTTGGGCTCTGAATCATACAACTAAAATTTGGAATTTGTTTCTGCAGTCTCATTAAAAATAGTACCTAAAAACTCATCTACTTTTCATATCAATATTTACACATTTGTAATTAATACCTCAGCATCACAGTAAAACTTGTAAATGCATACTAGGTCTGGGAGAACACACACCACTTCCTTAAGAAATTTATGCTGCACTATATCTGCTTCAAGATTTGTCCCTAAGTTCAGTTTGACTTTTCCTGACTACTTCAGCAGAGTCAGCATTTTAGTCTAATAGTGAACTTTTCTGAACAAAATAAAATCAGAAAGACATCAGGCAGTTTTGATCTGCCTCCTGGAACTACATTTCAGCACTTTCTTGACTGTAACCCAGATTTCTGACTTGATGGCATTCAGTTTCAGATTTTGTCTGTGCTCATTTCAGGTGTGTCTCTATGCGCCATAGTATGTCTCTCTCTGCCTGCTTTTCTTTGCATTGGAAAAATCAATGGGCAGATAAAATTGGTTATCTCAAATCTTCCTTCCCCTTCACTTTTCCACAGACTTGCAGAAAAAAACTAGCTGAACATTTCTGACCGATGTCTGAGGTCTGATTTTCATATGCAAATGAAAAAAACAGTAAATGAGAAATAAGAGTGAAAATTACATGGTATGGGCAAGAAAAAAGAAGGAAAATTATATAGTTTATTTCTTATCCCTTGTGGTTTCTTGGGTTCCTTACAGTTCTTTTATATGGCTGTAGTAAGCAAGAAGTGATTTAAAATGCAAAGTTTGAAGACAGAAACCAGGAACCAAAACCACTCCCAGAGTTTATGACACTTAGAGACTTTTTGGTGACAATAACATGTATAAAGTCTTGCTAACTGTGCAGTAACTGCACTACATCATAGCAAAATGGAACTAGGAGTTTATTTACATTTCTCTATCATGTTCTAAGAAATGTCTCCATCTATGAGCATGTAGCGTGAGATACCATCAAATTTTATTATATTTATTTCTCTATGAAAGTCACTGAAACTAGCTTCAGACATATTGTTTATTATTAATTATATCTATCCCTACAAGCACTGGGCAGGTATATATGCTTTCCACAATTTTTATCAGAAAATTCTGAAACCATCAAGCTAATTGTACTTTATGTTATAAGGAATGAATTTCCATTTTGGTGCTGCAATCACTACAAAATTATCAGACTCAAATTTATGTGTAAGACACTAATATAAAATAAGAGGATAATGTGGTACTTTGACCAATATGTGATGAGAGTCTTCAAGAACTTCTGTTCTCTGATCAACTAGACACTGGAACAGTTCTCTAAATGTGTTGCACTGCAAGATGTCAGGAAATACTAATATACACAGAAATATCCAGGGGATTTCCTGACTTTGGAGTGATTTGGGTTTCTTGGTTTGCATTAAAATTGTTGTTCATTAGAACTATGGTAAATAACTTCATGTTTTACATAAATAGATTGAAAAAAAACCCAACACATTAATTACCTTCAAAATTGGTTTTGGGTTTTTTAGCATTAGAATTCTCATTAGAATTTGCTGACTGTTACAGCAGGAACAATGAATCATACAAACACTCTATTGAAGTTGTTATATTCAGTTCAAATATCCAGGACAAATGTATTTTATAAGATTGTTCCTTTAGGACCCTGGGGGATGGAATTCAGAAACTCATTTTATTTATTTGTTAAGCACCTCCTAAGTTTCTTCAATGATTAAAAAAGATAGTTTACCTCTGAGTCATACCTTGAGCTTCCACCTTCTGTCCTGGCTGTTTTCCTCCAGGAGGTCTCCCATGGTCAGGCTGCACTCTGTCACCTGCAATGGGGATGCTGGTGAGGTTTCCTCTCGCTGTAATCTGCCAGGGATTCAATAGTTTTTCCAACACTGGGCTGCTGTTCAGTACCTGCTGCTGGACTCAGAAAACCTGAGAAGGGATATATTAAAGGCACAATATCCTGGAGTGGAAATAAAGGGTAATTTTCCCCTACTGGAGGGGTGAAGATATAGAATTTAAGGAAATAATTAGTGCTTTCTCTTCAAAGCTGGCAAAACCATGATAACTCTCAAGGCTCCTCATAAAAGCCATACACATCTTCTTCAACAGACTTAGATATTGTTGGTAAACTGGTTCAGCTGACAAGGCAGTTGACTTTTAAAAAGCACTTGTCTGCCTTTCAGGTCCATCAGAAAACAGTCATTCTCTTCTATTGTCCTTGTGTGGCAGTAAACTTAAAAGATGCAATTTGCTCCTGTTTCTCCAAGATTCTGAAGTCCAAGTCTATAAATCACAGTAAGAGTAGAGGTAATACTCCAGATAAAGCAGTGCATAGAAGAGCATGGCAGTGTTTAAGTACTGAATTCTTTCCTGAAAAGAGATTTATCAAGTATGGTCGTTGCATACTCAAATTTTTTCTGTTGCTTAGTAATAAGGGAGAGCACCTCTTAATAAAATTTCTCCTGGTGCAAAACTTAGTTCATGCCTACCACTGTAATGCAGCCCTTTAAGGGGACACACATAGCAAGTTGTAGTGAGAGCTATTTTAGTAGTAGTAGTGAGAATATTTTATATGCAGTGTGGGCACTGTATGGCTAAGCCAACACACTGAAAACACAGAACTCTGTCTGATAACATAACTCTATCGTAACTCTACATTTACCTGAATGAAAAAAAACTTCCAAAATTTAACTTCTACCAGTAACAAGCCTTTAAAATGCCATACTGGTGTCTATATTTACTGACTCTCAGTAATTTCCATATCAAATATAATGTTTCACATTAGTAATTACATTCAGTGTTGCAGATTGATTTTCTCCTCTCTAACTTCTTGCCTTCTCCTGGAAAGTTTAAGAAAGAGATGACAGGAGAGTTAAAGACATGGGACCCAGGTAAGGCACAGGATGGAAGACATCACAAGGATGACCCTTGTTTTGTTGCATTCATCTTGTAGAATGAAATGCAATTTAAACTGTCTTGGATTTTATTGACAGGGATTCTATCCTGTTTATCCTGGTAAGTAAATTAGCCAGGGAAGGCTGAGTGTCTACTGTCAACATTCTGAAGTCATCCGTGCCTAAAGAAGCACATGGATGAATTGGTTTAGTGTCCAGGCTAGTCCTCTCTGCTACATCTGCCTTTTACTTTGCTTCAGGATTTCTGTGGATCATTCTTGATTCTTTGACAAAAACAACTGCTTTAATTCTCTGGAAAAGTAACAATATACCAAATCTTCCAACAAAACTATATTTTTCTGGAAGAAAATTTATTTGCTTCTCAGAGAATTCCTTGTGTTTCACCCCTCTTCTCCCTCCCTCCATCTTTCAGAAAATCCCTTTTCTACTGCAGCACAGATTCTAAATACTCGAATGCCACAGGAGCATGCAAATGCCCTCGGATTCCAGACACTTCGTCCTTCTGTAGTAGTGCAGTGAAGGCGGAGCAGCAGAGCTATGGATGCCCACTACAGTATTTGGTTTAGTCCTTTAGTTCCTTGGCTCTGCAGCCAGAACTTCAGCGGTTTTTATCTTTTTAAGGAAGAGCTGCAGTGAGCACGATGCCGGTTCCCCGTGTCTCTGGCCGGGCACAGTCCGCGCTGCCGCACGCCTGGCTGCTTCAGAGGAGCTGTCCCTGGAGCGGGGATGGGCTGGGATTAGTTAACCAAACACACCGACAGGACGATTTCGGATGGCACCGCGGCGGCAGCAGCAGCAGATGTTTCCCCAGGGTTTGAGGATGTGAAAGCCTACTCCCCTCCCCTCCCTTCCCTGCTTTCCCCAGAGGTGCAAGCGCTGAGCTGGGCGCTGCGGCCGGGAAAGCCCCAGGGCCGCCTCTGCTCGGGCAGCTCCAGGGCAGGGAAGGACGAGGTGCCCAGAGGTGCCTGGCGGGGGCACCCTCTCCTCCTCCTCCTCTTCCTCCTGCCCACCCTCCTTCGGGCAACACACGCAACCTTTTCCAATGCCTGTCAGCCCCTTTCAGTGAAGAGATTTTTCTTATCATCCAGTCTAAACCTCTCCTGGTGCAGCTTGAGGCCATTTCCTCTGGTCCTGTCGCTGGTTACTTGGGAGCACCCTCTTCGCAGCCTGGTAGTTTTGTGTTGCCGTCTGGGACATGCTGTTCCATAATGCAGGAGCTTTCCCCTGTGCGTTTTGTTTTACACCTGCCAGCGCCTTACCCATCTGCACTCATCCAGTGGGACTGAAATTCCTTTCCATGTATGAATTTGCAGATGGACGCAGGAAAGCTAAAGGATTATCTAATTTGATTTTTTCCTCGCTCAAAAATGAGCAGAGAGTGCTGGAGAGAGGGGTGTTTCACCTTCCCATGTGCCAAAAAAGTTGAATGCCAGGGTGGGGATAACAGTCTCTGCTTCCTAGTGGGGTTTTGAAATTTGAACCTAGTAAATTGTTTAAGCTTTCTGGTAGTATTAAACTAGGTTATTTAATTGCTGTACATACATGCTGGATCTTCTTATTCTATGGCCTGGTTGTGATCAAAGATGAAATTCAAAGTTCTACTCTGACAAAAAAGGGAAACCCATATGCAGTATTTTAGTACATAGTCACTAAAATATCAGCGTATTTCTTTGGTTTGAGTAGGCATAATAGACATTGCTCAGAAAAAGACACTTCAATTTTATTGCATTGGAGTGTTATTTGTACAATCTGAGTTTCAGACTAATGTAAAGAATGTGAGACTTTTCATTTTAGTTTGTTTATTTGTTGGGTTTTTATTGTTGTTTCTGTTTGTTTTCTTGAGGTTTTTTTACTTATTAATTAATACTTATTAATACTTATTGACAGTTTTGGCACTATATTTTACCCTAACTAATTAATGAAACTTTTTACTTTAATTTCAATATGGAGCATATTTCTTGAAGTGTCTTAATTACGTTTGAGTTTTCTGAGTCATCTGAAAGAAGTTTCCATCTCACTAAAAAGATACTGTATTTTTAACTTCGGTGTGCTATATGATAAAGAAGTTTCTTTTTGAACTTAGAAAACATGTGAGTAGTGTAGTTGTCAGAAATAAAATATAAAGATTCACTTGCAAAACATAATATAGTTTGTATCTTGCAGACTTTTTGTCTAAAGAGTTGCACCAAAAATGAGATAGAATAGAAACTGAAATGATTTCTCCTGTATGACTTTAAAATTACAAGTAATAGAAATGGTAATATTTCTGCACGGTACTTACCATGAATAGGCAGTTTAGAAATGCCACCTGTTGTCGCCTTGAAAATTAAACCTTCTGATCTTGTTTTCGTAGTTTCTAGCCACTTTCCCAGGAAAGTAACTATAAACATAGATGTGTATACATTCTTTCTAAGAAATGCCTTTTGATGGACATTTCACACGACCAGTGTGATTGGGAAGGTGATAACCCGACTATCCAATCCCTGGTCATTGTCAAGAATCTATAAATACTGGAGTCACGAAATAAAATCATCCTTTTCCTTATCATACGTTGAACTGTGTCTGTGTGAATCATTCTGTGTCCTACAGTGACAACCTGTCATTAAAATACTTGGATTTAGAAAACCATTTGACTATTAGCATGATTGAGAAAAATAATTTAAGTAAAAAGAGTTGCTATTTATATAATCTTTTGGTACAGAAATCTCTTTACAAAAACTGTCTCAAAATATAATTACTTTCAAAAAATGTTTAGCAGTTGCCATGATTTAAATATTTTCCTATCTCTTCATAGAATTTTCATTTCTAAATAAATTAATTGAAACTATACCAATTAAACATTATAATAATACAGCAATTTATTAATCAATAATTTAAGGCTCATTCTAAACTGTTCATGACCAATCCAAGATTCAGACTTAATTTAATTTTCTGATAAATTAATGTGAAGAAACTTGATTTTGCAACTCTAATGCTGATTTTAAGGCTGAAAGATTCAGAAAAAAAATATTTTATGAGATAGTAGGATGTACCTGATGTGAAACTTTAAGGGAGTGAATGGCATTTCCTTTCAACTCAGTGGGCATAGGAATATTGTTAATTTGATCTAATATATCCTGGTTCCTCCTTTGGACAAGAAGTGGGTATCTTCCTCCTCAGGCTGGAGCAGGAAGGTTTGTTTTCCTATGTGGGAACAATCCACCTACTAATTCTCATCTTGAACTGAGACACTTTTCCAATAGGCAGAACCCCTTAGAAATACAAGAGTTCAATTTCTCTGTGCTTAAGTAGTATCTGCACTGCTGCCCAAGTATATTTTAAATGTACTGAACAGGATGTAAGTATATCACACTTGAATTTAACTCATTGCAGGCTCTTTTGCCCTGTTTATGTAAAGCTGTTGAATTAGCTCCGTCTGATTTTAAAGCTGAGCAAGGAATCCTCAAACAACAGATACTTTATATGTCAAATGCACCTTCTGAGGGCATGGTCATATAAAATGGGAAGGTTTGAACTACCCTGGACTTGGGAGTGAATTGCCCCAAACTTCTATGTGTCTGATAGAGATGTAAACTATTTTTCTTCATTTGTGTTCTTCTGCAAAAGGAACTTTGTATAATGTTAATACTTTGTATAATGCCTATAAAAAATACAAGCCAGTGGGGAATCAGACGCTATGTATTTCTAGTGCATTTGGATGATTAAAAAACTAAATTAGGGAGTTAATGCAGAAATTAATTTATTTTTTCTCAGAAAGTACTGAAACAAAGCATTTTTCTCCCTGCTTGTTAAGGATGGAGATATATTATGGATAAATAAATAAATAAATATGGATATATTTAATTACTTTAAAATGTGATTAAAGCAGTTCCCTCGTACTTCATTTAGTGTGGCTCTTTCTGTGTGACTTACTGACTTCTTGATACTTTTTTTTCCTATAAAATCGGTGTCTTTGACCTGGTCACACACACTCTTTAAGCAGAGAGAAGGAATGGGAAAATTGTTTACACTTGACACTGCTGCAGAACATACTATTTCAATTCCAAAGGATTTCCAGAAAGAACAATGCCATTCAAGATACTAAGAAAGTAAAATCCAGAAATACAGTATCTTCCTTTGGTAACTGTGTTGCTCTCACTTTTTCTAGTTCTTTTTAAATAAGCAGTTCAAGAGCTCCATCTTCGGGTTTAAGGTGTTATTGCAAAAAAATATAAATATTTATTTTTGCATTAAGTAGTACCTAAACCTCCTACAAGTTATGTAATGTACATCTTCTCATACCTTGTCAGTTTGCAGTGCAAACATTTCTAGACACATTTGTTCCATTGCATTTTGATAAATTTTTAATACTCTCTTTTTAATATAATTATTTTCAATTTTTTCTTTCATTAACTTACTCGGTTTTGCTGGATTATAGTTTTCCCTTTCAATTATGATACATAAATCAGCTTGATAGTTCATAAAATATCTATGGACCATGACAGAAAATAATGGCAGATGGAATTTTAAAACAGGCTGTTTTTCAGGTAGGCTTTATTATGTTTTAGAAATTAGTATGCTTTTATTAAAATGAGAACATATGCTGGCTGATTTTTGTCAATGGGGAATCTGTTCACATTCTTTTGGGAGCAGAATTTTAATGAAACATTAATTTTGTTTCTGCCAGTGCAGCAAAGTTCTAAAACACTTAAATATTACAGTGAAAAAAAATTAATCTATTTTATTTTTCAATAAAAAGCCTCTAATTATTTCAGAAAGTCTTCAGGGAAAATAAAGTTATTTGAAAAATTTTGCTCCTCAAACAAAAATTTTGCTCCTCAAAAGTTGTGAAAGTGGTACATAAGAAAAAAATATTGTTAAGTAATTTAAACTGTTAATCACAGAAATCTATCACCTATGAGATACTCTTATCAGTATCTTCTGTACCTTTTTTTTCTTTTCTCCTCAAATAAAGTTTTATTTCTTCCCACTTTTTATTTTCTTTCTAAGTATCTTCTGCTGGTATTCTGATATGACAAGTACAGACAGTCCTTTTAATTTACCCTGTCTTGTCCTTAGAGCCAGAGAATTTGCCTTGCTTCTGTTTTTCATACCAACACTGTAGAGAAGCACGACTGCAATTTTTGTAATAGGGGTGACTTGATTATTACCCATTATTGCTTAAACTATTGCTTAAATCAAGATAAATCAAACTCATGTTGTAATTCGACCCCATATTTCTTCTTCTCCCCAGCAAATATCTCAATCTATAACCA